CTCTCAACTATGTCTGTACACGCTAGAGGACGAAGGGATAAAGGATCACGAGAACTCTGATATATAAAAACAAAAAATTAGCCCATATACAGTAAAGATAAAACGATAGAACAATACCAAAGACATAGTAAAAAATCTGAGAAGTCTCCATTTTCATGAACACAAGGCTAATAAATAATGGCAAAAACATTTTTCGTATTGAGATTTTCCGATTTCCGTGGTAGCTAACCCATTGCTTTCATCTACAAGCTTTTTAGATAATGGAATAAACATTCGGCTTTATCCTCGCTCATAAGTGAGGAATCAGACCAAATTATTACAAAGAAGTTCCCGGTCCCATATTTAAGGTAGACTCATAAAAATGATATAAAATCAGTTCGTAATCTTAGACGTAACGGGCCATCCATAGGAGAAAAAAAGCCAAAGCTGATGTCTCAACTCTCAAGCTGAACTAATAAACCAAAATTGAAAATAAATACCAAATGAATAGAATATGCATGGTAGAAACAATAAAATATTGGTAGACTATCTGGCCTGGAGTTCATTCCCATACGAATATCAGCATAGGAGCACAGATGCGTGGGCCCCACCACTTGTTCCTTAAGAGCGGTTGACCCCGTTTGGCACGGCTTCTTCACCAGCTCCTAAAGCCGTTTGAAGCCACCGCTTCATTCGCCTTCCTGATCACGTGCTCGGCCCCAACTGTAAAGTATCGATTGCTTGTGTATTTGATATAACTGATCTCCTAGCCAACCTTATATGAATAGACTATATTGTTTACTCTTGAGATCTTAATTACAGACGAAAAAAAGTATAAGTGACATAGCACCTGCATTTAGCCAGCAACAGGTTAAATTATTAGCCTTTCACTCATTATTTGTACCCCTTCTCGAATAACACGATGCTTGACGTGGTTACGAACCCACAACAATTCCTATTCAGATTACAAAAGATCAGAGGGATCTATTTGGATTAGTATTCTAGTTGTCCAGGTTACTCAAGAATGTATGAGACAATTTTTATGGAGTTAGTTAGGGAAGGACTAGATTAAAAAATACGATTAATCTACATGGCACTCGAGCAATATTTGGGCTCGGTGCGCTCGATAATTTTTAGTCCCTGATGTTTGACACTAATTTAGAGTATTAAACATAGAGTAATTACAAAACTAATTGCACATATGGAGACTAATTTGCAAGACGAATCTATTAAACCTAATTAGTCCATGATTTGACAATGTGGTGGTACAGTAAACATGTGGTAATGATGGATTAATTAGGCTTAATACATTCATCTCGCAAATTAGTTCCATCTGTGCAATTAGTTTTATAATTAGCTCATGTTTAGTCCTCCTAATTAATATCTGAACCTTCGATGTGACAAGATTTAAAACTTTGTAGTTAAAAGTTTTTATTTGAGTTCATTTAATAGCAAAAATATCCAATATAAGATTACGAAATATTGATATAAAAAGATAGCATATTAAATAGAGACATGAATAAATGTGTGGTGCAATGGTAGAGAATGGTAGTCTTGAGTGGCAGGTCTTGGGTTTGATCTCCAAAGCCATAGATTTTTTTGTTTTTTGAGGCTCAAAAATGGCCGCCTCCATTAAAATTAGGGCAGTAGTGTTTTCAGTATAATCTGATAGCCGCTTGCTGAGTCTTTCCTTTAGAGATTGGAATTTAATTTGTTTCTCTTCAGACCCAGATGGGGTAGGCAGACCCAAATACTTGGCTTCAAAAGCTGACAATTGCACATACCCAAGATTTGTTTCACTTGCTCCTAGTCTGCTACTTGCCCCTTAGCATTGAACATATTGGAGCACTTGCTCTGATTTATTAACTGCCCAATGCAGTGGCTATAGGTGTTGATCATCTCCTTGACGTGAGTCGTTTGGTTTGGAGCGGCCTTGAAAAATATGAGCAAATATGAGCTTATCGACTGCAAATAAAAGATGTGAGATGCCTGGTTCACCTCTGCAGATAGAAAGCTCAGCAGCTAGTTTCCCCTTGCCGTACCTTCCGGGTAACCAACAGAGATGGACCACCCAATTCCAATTGAGTGAGCGCTCACTCGTTGGGAAACGAGTGAACACCTCCGACCGCGCCACACGTCCGACAACACACTCATTGTGTTGCTTTCCGCAACGAGTCTGCAGTCTATTAGGTTTTTGTTTTATATGATTTTTTAGTATTCTTTTTATTTTTAATATGTTTTATTTTTCTTTTATTTATTTTTTCTTTTTAATTTTTTTGGCAACGTTAGCAAGTTGTATTGAATAACTTATATATACTAGTTGTGTTTGATAATTTTTTATACATAATTTGTGTTTTATAACTTTTGTGTTTCAAAGTTTTGGTATAAATTATAAGTTAATTCGTTCCTTTGCGTTTAGTAACTTTTATAAATAAGTTATATGTTATATATTATATGGTATAAATTATATGCTATAAGTTATTTGTTTCTCTGCGTTTAATAACTTTTGTAAATAAGTTATAAGTTATATGCTATAAGTTATATGTTATAAGTACTACACATAAATTTTTAAATTTCTACTAGAATTTTTTTCGAAACATATGAAAGTAGGATCTAGTTTTGTTCGCCTCGTCGCATAGAACACACCGGTACAGACGGAATTGAAAACGGATACACCATTCAGAAGTTATAGTATTTTAAAATAAATGTCTTTTTTTTTCTTAGTGCAACGTCACCGTAGAGAAAGGAAGTGGGGAGAAGGATGGGCGGCATGCATGGCTCAGCGCCACCGCGCTTTCCCAAAAAGGAAACTGGCTGGACATGTCCGAGATCGTTCGCTCGATTGAAATTGGATGAGTGATCGCTGATTAGTGCGGTTGAACAGACCATCGGTTACAAAAGGAAGATACAGGATCACCTTGGCGAAGATCATCAGCGGAGTGGACCAACTTGGAACATTGCATTACCAAATTTCCTCTTCCCTGTAAGGCTCATGAAGAGAAGAGTTTCATATATATGTGATTTTGGGAGTAAATACTTGGATCCCACCAACTCCTGCCTTTGTTTAATTTCAACCCCCAACTACAAAACCGTCTAATAACTTTCACACCTCAAGTCCTCAACTATCTAAACAGTCTAAACTTTGACCTCAAAGGCATCTTAAAACCGTTCCGTCTCGGAGGTCAAAATCGAACGGTTTTGATAGTTGAGATGCTAAAGTTAGACAAAAATAGACTTAAATAAAGTACTTTAGTTTTTTAGTTATTTATGAAAAAATTATATATTTAAATTTACTTATTGGTAAATATTTATATTTATTAAAATATTATCTACACTTTTTTGGATTCTTATCATAAAAATAAGTTTCATAATTATCATAAATTAAACTTTGGTACAATTTTTTTCTAAAAATATAATCTATCAAATCTACAACTTTGATTTGGGTTATTTCAAAATATAAAAACTTCAAACAGAATTTTGAGACCGCAAATAATTTCAAATGAAACAGTCATCAACCATAAAGTTGTAGATCTGATAGCAGAGATCTACAAGTTTAGTTTCGGTCATTTATCCATCCAAATTCGTTCGAACAATTCACAAATATTTAAATTTTAAAATATGAGAACTTTAAACAGAATTTTGGGACCGTAAATAATTTTAAATGACGATGTTGCAAATAGATATGACACCGTGCTGGTAGCTCAATGTTGTCGCCAAGCTGTTTATTCATAATCACAACCGAGTGAATTCTGCAGTGGTTGTTTGGCTCGGTAATCACCAATGACTGGCCATCTTTGTAATGTTATAAACTTTACTTCTATTTAATGAAAAACATGCCTTGGCACGGTTGCGAAAAAAAGATGTTGTAAATAAATGACGTACTAACTCATCCGGCACAAATAGTATCATCCCTTGCAAATAGATGTCCAACCACCTCTCCGGCTCATCTCCCTCCATCAACCTCAGGATCATATGGCGATATTGAAGCTTAGGGTGGGCAGATCCCATACAGGCCGGACTCCCGTATCACCCCCGACAACAGTACCGGAACAAGGTCAAGAGTATCTCCGGTGGCCCAGCACAACCGATCTTCAAAGATCTCAACTTCTCCTAGAGGCTAGAGATTTGATGTGATGAACAGATCAGAGAAAGAGAATGAGAAACGCCTCCGCATGAGGTAGATCGAGCTAGGCAGGCTTGCCGTAGAGTTAAATTAGGAGACCGCTAGCTGCCACGGGTGCTAGCTAACAGGAGAACAGCACTGGGGATCAGGGTAAATAAACGTAGACGGCCCGACGATAGTGGTCACCACGAAGTCGTTTTCATTCGGGAGACCGTTTCAGATGTATTATCATATCATGATGCGTAGAACTTGGTGTATTCATGCTATTTTTCATTTCTACAAGCGTTCTTGGCTTCTTCTTCTTCTTCTTTTCAGTTGTACAATTATGATACATTCTTATTCTGTATCACGCCACATGTAACAGTTGTTACGTTAATTGCTCATCTTTTCTCGTCAAATTAGGTTTTGGAGGTGAACTGGTTCATGCATGCAGCTTGATACAGGTTTCGAGTTGTCCATTCCCATTCACGTGTGAGGTCCGATACAGGTTCCACGTGAAAGTTTGCCTTGCCGATTGATTCTAGCTCTAGAGATGGTAATGGTCCCCAATTCCTGATTTCGCAAGAGGGTTCTCTTATTATATTAGGTAACGCAGATGGGCCAATTTAAAGCATGTTTGTGACTGCTCTACTCTAGTTTTTTCCAGTTCTCCATCAACCCTAGATGAAAGGTGAGCAATTAACTTATATACTCAAACAATTCATCACATTATCGACTTTACATGTACCATGATATAGAACAAGAATGCATCTTAATTATACAACCGTAGAAAAATTTGAACGACGAAATACACTAGCAGAAATGTAAAATAACATGAAACACACTAGGTTCTCAAATTTCTTATGGCGTCTTCTTGTACTTCATTCCGCTTTTGGGAAATCCCGGCATGTCCACTGATTTACAAGCACGCGCGCAGTTTTTGTTTGATGACAGGCAGGTGGCCCTTCTGCTGCAAGCACACCACAGTCTCGTACAGGCTCTTCCTCAGCGGAGTGAAGTCCAAGCCCAGGTCCCTGAGCCTCTGGTTGGAGAACCTGTACGGCTTCACCATTGGCTTGTCGTCGTCTTCGCACCTGCATCACATAAAGACGAGCACGCGAGGTTTTCAGAGCTGATCGCTCGGCGGTGACGACGGCAGAGGAGGGGCTCTGTGCTTACTTGGTTGTGACGGGGTACTGCGGGAAGAGCTCCCTGAGCATGGCGACGAGCTGGGCGCGGTGCAGCACGGTGCCGATGCAGAGGTACCGGCCGCGCGCGGCGGGGCGCTCGTAGGCGAGGACGTGCGCGAGCGCGACGTCGCGGACGTCGACGTAGGCGGCGACGGCGTTGGGGATGGACCTCTTGGTGCCCATGGCGTAGCGCAAGACATGGTGGGTGCTGACGTTGAGCGTCTGCTGCAGCACGGGGCCCACGGTAATGCACGGCAGCACCACGGCCAGCTGCAGCCCCCGGGCCGCCGCCTCCTTCGTCGCCGTGATCTCCGCCATCATTTTGGCGCAGCAGTACAGGTTCTCCGTTCGCTTGCAGAAGTCGTAATCACTCCAGCATGTCTCGTCGAGGACGGCGTCGGGGCACCGGTTGGGGTCCATGTGGACGGCGCCGTAGGAGGAGGTGAAGACAACGCGGCGCGCGCCCTCGTCCGCCGCGGCGCTGATGACGTTCCTGGTGCCCTCCACCGCCACCGGCACGAGCTCCTGCCGGCGGGTCAAGGAAGCGTGAGCAGAGTACGTGGCGCATTGCTGTACTGTTGAAAAAGAAAGAGCAAGCACTGACGACGACTGACCGGGTCGTTGGAAACCGGGGAGGCGACGTGGAAGACGCCGTGGCAGCCGGCGAAGGCGGCGCGGAGGGAGTCGCGGTCGAGGACGTCGGCGCGGCACAGGGTGAGGCGCTCCTTGGCGCCCTCCAGAGCCAGCAGGTGTGCGTTCTTGCGGTCCGCTGCACGTCAGCACGTGCACGCAAAGCAGAGGTGAGTACAGCAAGCTCTCTGAACTTGCAGAAGGGAATTGCAGTGCAGGAGATGGTGTGATGTGAGTCAGTCACTCACCAGGGTCCCTCGCAGTTCCCCTGACACGGTAGCCGCGATGGAGCAGCTCCTTCACCACCCACGAGCCGATGAAACCGCCGGCGCCGGTCACGCACACCAGCTGCTGCTCACAGCAGCTGGACGACATGGTGATGCTGCCCAAGTGCCGATGATTAAGCTGCAGGGCATTTGGAACGGGGTGACTCTCAGTGTGTGAGCCTCGGTCCTTCATCTCTCTAGCTCTCTGTGAATCTTCGACAGCTCTCGCCTTGTGTTGTGCTATAGGGTGGCTGCCCGTATTTATACCGCAAGGCGCTCCTTGAGATGTCTGGTGAACTATGTTCACCCCTCAAGTGTTCAACAACACACTTACAGTCGACTTGTCCTAAGTCAATCAGATTGCGGTTGATTATTTTCCTCACCCAGATCCAACTGCGTACGCGGCTACACCTATTACAAAGCCTTCCACTCGAAAGCATATTACTCGGTGGTCATACTGGTTGCCAAGAAGGGCGCGCATATTCAGGTCGGACCAACATAGAACAGATGAAACCTCATCGGTTCAACTTCACGCTACTCGGCATGGGATGCCGGCCCTCCGACTTGGCTCTCAGATTTCAGCCGACAAGCTACAAGCAAGCTGTCCAAGCTATCCATGAGTTGTCCGAGTCACACGCAAGCGGGGCGAGCTGTAAATCACCAAACACAAAGCAAGACGCAAAGCCTACAGCAACATGCATGCAAGAAGACGGCAAGCTTGAAGCTGTTGGGAGATTTAAATCATACGTACGTACACGCTCTCACGACAGGCATACACGTACATGCTCATCCATCTACTTGATACCACGCCACTAAGCTCGGGGCTCGGCCATTGTCACAGGTTACTCGGCTTCACTCCAACTACGTTCGGGAGCTCAGATTCGAGGATGGAAGGCCAAATTTACGAGCATTCAACTACTCGACGACAAGTGATCATTGATCATTATTTTCGGGGGTTACTCGGCTGCACCCTTAGGATATCTACAAGATCCTATAGTCGACTCCGAGTAGTCGGCTTTAGGCTCGGGGGCTACGGGATACATATCCTTAGAGGATGCATTCAAATTTCTTTGACAAGAAATTGCAGACAAGACCCTCCAACTCTTTGTTCCAAACAACAAGAGGCTCGAGGGCTACACTCAGTGAGTGCACTTTTTCGGAAAGTGCACACCATTCCAAGATTTCAAGAAGCACTACATGGTTTCACTCAAGAAAACACTCGGACAACGTTTGTTTCTACTTGGCAAGACCTGGAGAAACAAGAAGGCTCCCAAAGTTCAACCATACAGTGCTCGGGGACTTGTGGGACATAGTCCCCGGGTACCCCGCGAGGAAGAGAGAAGATCTAGTCCGACTAGGATTTTCCACATGTAATCCTAGTAACATTGCTATAATGTAATCCTACTAGGACTCCTCTATTGTAACCGACTAGAAGACTTGCCTCCTGGGCTATATAAAGGAGGGCAGGGCTCCCTAGATCGGAAGAGGCCATGACACACAATCATACCAATTAATCCAACGCAACAGGCTACACGCCGATTGGACGTAAATGCTATTACTCGATCACGAGGGCCCGAACCAGTATAAATCGTTCATCTCTTTCCGTTCACCGTCGGGTTCCGCATACATCGAAGCCCACCAATTATCGTCCCGAGTAACCCCGTGACGAGTTACCGGTCATCAAACACTGTCACTTATGATTGACCACAGTACAACACAATATTCCACATTCTTGACCTAAGAAATTACTCCCTCCATCCCAATAAAAGTGTCATTGTAGGACTCAACGCGTGTACCAAGACCAGAGGTAAAAGACCATAATACCCCTAGCACAATGCTCTTCTCTCTCTTGCGCTCCTCCATTCTGATCCAAATTCAACTCCGTGCGGCCGTGCCTCCTCCTTACCCGGTGGACGCAACTCTACGCCGGTCGCTCTCGTCTTCGACGTTGGGCTGCACACTCCGCCTCAGATCGACGTCGAGCCGCATGCTCCGTCTCCTTTGCCCGCACCGTTGCTGGAGAAGAGGAGGGGGACGGAGGAGGAGAAAATGAGGCGACGGCTTGGGTGGCGCTGCGGATCCCGCGTGGGGCCGCGTGACCTCGCCCGGGGCTGCCTCTGCCTCCACGACGGTTGAGCCGAGGCGGAGCTCATGGGAGGAAGCCGCTAGATCCGCCGACAGTGTAGAAGAAGAGGAGGAGGTCGCCAGATCTTGGCGGAGGAGAAGATGAGGGGGGCGCCTCAGCCACTCTACCTCTGCTGCGCCGTTTTTTGCCTTCTCCCCGGGCCCGCAGGCTGGATCTGGCGGTGGCCATGGCGGGCTGGAGCTCGTGATGGCCATGGCGGTGGTTGACGTTGTGCGGAGCCGCGCGCGGGTGCGGGCTACGAACTCCTCCTCGACATCGCCTCGCCTCCGCGTGGCGCGCCGCCCCCGCCCTCCACGCTAGCCACGCCACCATCTCCGCCTCCGTCTCCTCCTTCACAAGCAAGGTGCCGTGTGTGTGTTTTCTTTTTGAGAGAGCGAAAGTGAGGAGGTGAACACGGTGAAGGGATAGCCTGCAGCCTACAGAGGACAGCGGTAGCCATGGACCATACCTAAAATGACATATTTTTTGGACACCGTTCGAAGGCTACAACGACACTTGTATCGGGACAGAGGGAGTACTTTTGTGTGAACTTAATTTTTTGCGTATAGCCTGTAGTTACAGTATTCTTTCCTTGATCACGCAGTTCATCGAGACATCTCAAGCATCCATTTACCTATGTTCACATTAGGAAAAAAATATTATACAAAAATTCACACATTTAACTTTGTCTCACTAAAAGACGCTACACAATAATACACTTTAGCGCCAACATGTCGAACACATGCCATGTTACAAAAAAAACGAAAGATTCATGTTGAAAGTTCATTGTCGTATGCATGATACAAAGACATCTTAATCACATGGTACGAAGGTACAATAACTAGTCATGTTCAGTTGAACAAAGACATCTTAATCATGGATGCATGCTACACATGTGAAATACGTGCTACGGTACGGTGGTCAATAAAAAACATATACGTCTGTCACAGCCCAGAGAAAAACCTTACAACTCACATGAGACCTACACTTCTACATATGGTACATTAAAAAAAAACCCAGCTTTTTTTTGAGAATTTTTTTTCCATCTAACAAAACAGCAAACTCGTCGAAAGAGAGAGAGAGAGAGAAGAAACCAACCTGAAGTGGCCCAAGAATACCTGAAGAAAACACGGGGCCATAAAAGGGTCCAAACTGTAAGAGCCCATCTACGATCCGGTCCACCAATCCAGAATCCAGCCGGAGTCCAGACCCGCCGAGCCACGGCGACGCCGACGACCCGAGCGAGCGAGCAGACCTAAACCTCCGAACTCCTCTCCGCCGCCGCACCCGCAGCAATCATGTCGCACAAAAAATCCCGCGGCCGGGGCGCGGGAGGCGGTGCCGCCGCCTCCGGCGACGGCCATGAGGACCTCGCGCGCCCGCCCCCACTCCAGGCGGTCCTCCTCGCGGACAGCTTCACGCTCAAATTCCGCCCCATCACCCTCGAGCGCCCCAAGGTACTCGACGCACTACCCGCTTCCCAAATCCCACACCAGCACTATCTCGTCACCAGCGCTCGAGCTTCGCGGCTCCTCTGAACGAGCTCTTGCTCCGCCGCTGTCTCTTCGCAGGTGCTGCTGCCGCTGGTGCACATGCCGATGATCGAGTACACGCTCACGTGGCTGGAATCTGCGGGGGTGGAGGATGCCTTCGTCTTCTGCTGCGCGCACTCGCACCAGGTCAAGGAGTACTTGGAGAAGGCCGGGTGGGCTGGTAAGTCTGGGCCCGGGAGCATGGCCGTCACGGCCGTCGAGTCCCACGACGCGATTAGCGCGGGCGACGCGCTCCGCGTCATCTACGACCGCGGCGTGGTGAGTGCTCAGTCCTGCTTCCCTGTTGCGGATTATGATGGCAGCGTTATTATTGATTTTAGCTTTAGTTTTTTTGTATGCCTATCACATTGGATCTTCTCGTTGAGTTTATTACTGATGATTCCCAACTGATATAGCAAGGTGGTCTGAGACTGAACTCGGTAGTCATATTTTGGGTCGCTTGTTTCAGTTCGTTTATAAGAAAGTGTGAATGGTCTTCCATGTTGGTTGCCTCAGTAGAGGGGGCTCCAGGAGTGCATCAAAACCACCCTATAGCACCAGTGAAAGAGACAATTGTTTGTAGCATTTCTCCTAATCAGCATATATAGTAATACAATTTGCTTCTGAAGCTACTAAATAGAAAATAAACACACCTTTTTTATTTTCGTTTTGGCTTGTTTTGCTAGTTTGTTGACATCCTCTTTGAAAAACTTGACTCCAGTCTAGCTCAACTTATACGAAGCCTAAGCACTAAAATATGTGATAACTTTACAATAATTATGGATTAATATTATGTGGATCCAGTGGGACTCAGACATTACCATGCTTATATGTTCATGTAACTCCATTTGCAGTTTCAGTTGTTTCATGCATCCATCCTTCAATTGTAGATACACGGAGATTTCGTTCTCATCAGTGGTGATACGGTCAGTAACATGAGCTTGAAGGATGCTCTCCAGGAACATATGGACCGGAAGAAAAAGGACCCACTTGCTGTTATGACTATGGTTATAAAGCATTCAAAACCTTCTATTCTGACACACCAAACTCGTCTGGGTAATGATGAAATTGTTATGGCGATAGATCCTGAGACAAAGGAGTTACTTTATTACGAGGACAGGGCAGATAACTCACACTTGTATATTACAATTGATAAGGATATACTGAACAATAATCCTACTCTCCAGCTGCATAATGACATGGAGGTTTGCTTTCA